TAAATAACTAAACAAATACATTCAGGCTTAATTGTCCCAGTGTGCGATAGAAGAGGGATAAAATTTAATGGAACAATTTGCCGTTAGTCGCCATGCTCATCATGCATAGCCAAATATGTATAGTGAAGGATAGCTAATTTTAAAGGTTTTTCAGATATCACAAAAACAAAGGTGAAATTTTCCAACTAACGGATTTTGTAAAAAAATGTGAAGAAGCGGTAATAAATGAAAATGATATAAAAGAAGCGGTTGATCTTTACAATATGGTAACTGGTAGTTTGGCGACATTTTGGAGGCGATAAAGGTTATTACCTGGGACTTTGGTAATAATGTGAGCAGTACTCAGTTCCGATTACGCATTATTTTGTGTGAGGGAAATGAGAGATCATGGGATATGTCATGTGATATTAATGGACGAATTACGGTTCTTGAATCGGAAAAGGGGGGAAATCGGGAAAAAATCTGGAAATTTTGTATTTGGTTTATTCTGTGTTATGTGAAACTGTGTTCGTGAATTTTTTGGATCCCATGGCCGTAACTAAAGAAAAGTTTATCGGACACGTAATCAAGATTCTGAAGAAGATTAGGTAAGTTAGTATTTTTAATTATTTGAGGATATTAGTTTTATGCATTGTTCTAAATGTAAGGTGGAAGTAAAGGAATTTGGTATTATTGGGAAAATTGTTATTAGCAATGATTTAGTTTAAAGTAATTAGGATTGTAAGGTAATTTTTATTAATTTAATGTATGTGCTCATTTATACTTTAAGTAGTGTTTTTGAATTTAATTATATTTTAATTAAATGATAGTTATTTTGTGAATTTTATGTTTGTAGGAATTTGGTATACGTTTCAGTTGAAGTAAACGTGCATGGAAATAATTTAAATATCTGACACTAAGTATTTGTAATGGTTGCGGTATGAATTCGTTGGTGACGTTTATAATATAATAGATGATTTAAAGGTAAAAGTTTTTCGATATTTTATTTATTTTATATGTGGAAATGTTCATATTTGGAAAGGGTAAATACTTTTTTGCGATCAGGTAATTTCATATATGTTCTTTTTACCGGGTTTAAAGATTGAGAAAATTGTCATGTATTTTCGTGAAATTTTTCTAATTTATGAGAAAAAAGCAGTGTACATAAATATAGTGAAGAGTGTGCGCAATGCCATTTTTGTGCAATTCTGGGATGTTTTTTTAAGTAAAAATAAGTCGGCGTGTACATGGTTTATGTGTATGTGTTATTTTGAAAAACGCGTAAGGAGTATGGTATTGTGCACTTTTTCCCAATTTTGCAGTGAATATTTGTCATGATTAAGCAGTTTTGTTAGATAAAAATTTCTAGCATAAGTGTAATTCGGCTAGTAGATTGTTGGAAGAAGTGTTCAGTAGATAAAAAAGAAAAGAAACATGTCTTTACTTCGTGAAGACAAAATGGCGGCTGAAAAAAAATATAGGGTTGCTGTAGGAGAGTTGGTCGCCAAATTTTCGCAAAAAAAACGCAAGTTACCATAATGTAAAGATCAACCAAAGAAGCTTTTCATTGTGATGACAATGCTTCTCAATCATCAATCAATTAATGAATGGCGAAATCTGTAGTATGGTTCTAAATCTAGAAAATACCGCTACTGATAGTAAAGAAAGTGACAGAGAAGTTACTGAAAATGAGAAACTTTCGATTGACAATTTAGTCGGAATTCTCAAAACATGCAGTTACAGGACTTCAACAATGTAACTAAACAAGAGATTATGTCTGCCTACAGATTTAAAGAGAAAGCATTAGCACAAAAAAACGAAGCAACTTAAACAAATTACATTGAAAGAAATATTAATAAGGTAAACAAATAAATATTAAGCTCTTTTTTTGTAAATTTTGATACCCTTTAGATCACAAATTATTAATTATTTCATAAATTCTGATTTCATATTTTTCATTTTATAATTACATGTCATCTTACTAGATTTAAACTGATGATCTAATATCTACAAAAATCCGGAATCGCTGAAGTCTCGACGAGTACGGATTCCAGACTTTGTACAATATTAACATACTTTTTCTTAAATTTTGAAGGAAATGACAAAAATGTGGGACCTGCCTGCAATAGAATAACAAGCACTGGATTATTTTCAAAGTTATAAAATCTTACTACCCAAAAAATGCATATTAATAGACATATGATCAGCTGAATATAACCAAAAACAGAAATTACTTGCAAAACGTCTGGGTAAAAGTATATTTTAGGGTACCCCTTGGCGATTTTTGGCGGTACATGGATACCGATTTTGTGCAGTTCTTTAACTCGTTATTTTGGCTTGTGAAGTGGCGATTTTTGCGCCAAAAATCGCCGCTACACAAAGCCAAAATAACAAGACAAACAATTGCACAAACTCGGTATCCATGTACACATCGACTTATTTTCACTTAAAAAAAAAAACACCGAATTGCACAAAAATGGCATTGCGCACTCCTTTGACTTTATCAATGTACACGTTGACCTATTTTCACTTAAAAAAAATCCCCGAAATGCACAAAAATGGCATTGCGCACTCTTTTAACTTTGTCCATGTACACGCCGACCTATTTTCACTTTTAAAAAAAAAGTCCCAGAATTGCACAAACTTGCATTGCGCACTCCCTTTACTTTGCCCATGTACACTTCGATATATTTTCACTTAAAAAGTAAAAGGAGCACCAAATTCTACAATATCGGCAAACAAAAAATACATAATATCAGTAAAATGCATTTTAAACCAAACAAAAAAAATAGCATAAAAAAGGAAAAACATGTTATACATTTAAGCACTACTAAAAGCAAATATTCACTTACCATGATTTTCGAGTTCGCTTCGTACACCCAGAGCCATGTAAAAATCAAAATATCAATCATACTCAAATGACTTTTTTAAACCAGGTACTCTTTCTGCTCGAACGCTTCACATAGTGACCATCTGAAACTTTCTTCTCCTACAAACCCATTCAAATGCAATATAAACAGGTTTTTACGTTCGACTAGACGCATATCCTTCCTACACTTATAATGGCTGCTACGTAAACCTTCATTTACATACCAGTCAATTAAAGCTCTTTTCCCCTTTCACTCCAAATCGTACAGAAACTTCAAATATATATATATCGCCAAGTTGTTGTTTCATTTATGAAACAACAACTTGGCGATATATCAAACAACAACTTCGCCATAATACAAGGGGTACCTTAAAGTCTACTCTACCCAAAGTCTGTACTCAAAGCAGTCTACCAGAGCTTCCATTAAAATCAGGAGACCCCAAATAGTAGAAATCAACAAAAGTTGTTACAAAACAAGTGCCACCGGCTGAGCGGTAAAGTCGCTGAACACTGGTAGTTTGGTCCGAATCCTGCAAACAGGCTGGCTGTATGCATGTTTTCGTGGTTTTCCTCATGTGTAACGTGTATACGAGCCAGTTCTCTTAGAAAGTCCTTTATGAAGGCACCCCTCCCTTTAGGCAGATAGCCCTTGAGACTTTGCCGTAATTAATAACCTAACCTTACAAAACACATAAACAATGTGGGTCAAATACCAAATGTTCAATTAATAAAGAGGCATAAGTTACTTCAGAATTATGCAGGAACAATGGACACAGCTGCATTTTCGCAAACGTGCATGTGGTTATCTATATTTTGAGGTACCCTTAGATTATCACCAAGCTGTTTCAATTATGGTAACCTGAGTATTTTACAGTGTACGTTTCGGAAACTCTATCATGCCATGATTGGTTGTAATGCATGATCACAGCACTGAATTTGATTGTTGAGACAATATTTATTAGGGCTTATTTCTGCGTTGGATGTCGGTTAGGAAGTACGTTGCTTAGTTTGTGCTTTACACCATAAAATAGCTGCCGGTGATATAATTAACCTGAAGTTTCCGTATGATTTGGAATGAATGGGAAAGCATTGATTGACAGGAGATTTAATCGCAATTCAAAGGAATATCTCACCTGGAACAATGATCATATTCGATTGCTGAAAGTCATACGATTGTCATATTTTGAAAAGGGATCACCAACAGCCCAGCAATAAGATTGCTAGGCACTGGTAATTCAAGCCAGGTTCAAATCCAGGAAACGAGCAAGCTGCAAGAGAATTTACATGTTCTTCATCATGTATAATATCAATATGTGCTAGATTCTTTTAAAAAACTCTCCAAGAATGTATCTCTCTCCGGTAAAATCCTAGTATACAGTGCAGCCTTCGCACGACAAATTATCGCCAACACCAAAAATGATCCATCTATGTATACACTATACACTATATACTATCACTATATACATAGTATATACTACGTTTCAGTGCTCCGCAACCGGTGTGCCATGAGTAGGATATAGGTGTGCCGAAATCAAATACATGTATTTGACATTTTGCAATTTTTTATCATGTATTTAATACACAATGACAATTTTTTTTCCTTAATAATGTCTATTTTAAATGTTTTTATATATTTCACTGTTGTGTGGTTGTGTGTGTGATTGTAAGTGTGTCAGCATTTGAATTTTTTCGGCACTTCCTTGATAACTCGGAACTCTTTGGTGTGCCACGAAATTCCAGATTTTTTGTGCGTCGCAGGTGAGAAAAGGTTGCGGAGCACTGCTATGACCCGTTTGCACCGAATACTAGGATTAAATCTCTCTCTCCTTATGTAGAAAATTCTTGTATGCTTTATCGTAATCAAAATAACGTAACCAACAAATGTATGCAAGAAATAAAAATATAAGTAGTTGGCAGCATTTGTTAATAAACCATTTTAAACAACCCCCCATAAAAAAAAAAATCTGGATATAAACATAACAACGTAATTCAAGAACATGTATAATCTAAGTTGTAATAGTACTACAAACATACTGACAGTCGTTACTCAGACAAAAATTACTTTCGTTGATTTCCGTAACAAATCTCTAATTAAATAATTTAAACATTTCAAACAGGAATGTAACTTCAAATTTAAGCATTAATAACTTACTGGAATTAATTAGAGTCCAGCTGCATTAGCAACGCATAAGATTTCATTCAAAATAACCTCGGTTTTGTCTCCTATGACGTCACCACAAAGTGTGGTTAGAATGCAGTTAAACAAATCAGAAAAAACATTTTTAGTCCCGATGCCCAAGCTACATTTATTTTCAAAAAATTAAATGAAAAAATTTTCATTTGATTAAACTCACCACTAATTTCTACTTCAGGTTAAAAAAAAAGAAAGAGAGAGAGATTTTACATTAGGATTATAACATAACAGTTTAAATGTTTTATTTTATTTTGCAAATGCCACGGCTCTCCAGTACTTTTTAACAATGTCCTCATACCGAGACATTTCAATTTAAATGTTCAAAAATCATAGACTTATTGCAGTCATAAAAAATGCAGTATTGTAAATCCACTACTCTAATCTTGCAGAGGTGGTCTCGCAAACTGTCATGTTTGCGAACAAACTGTAAAACACCTATTTAGCCGTCTGATGTTTTCGAAGAAAACCTCTGTCCTTCTTCGAAAACTGGGAATGAAAGTTGTCTTTTCCCACCAGAATCCACCTTCTCTTATCCATAGCACGTTGAATCATATTCTGCTTAAGAAATTTCTTGAGAGTCAGATTAAGAAACAATTTAATCTTATGAAATGAAAGCGGTCGATTGGATGAAAGCGGTCGTTGCATTATAAAAGTTCCTTTCTTAGCCAAAGTATCAGCTTTATAATTTCCCATAATTCCATAGTGGGCTGAAATCCATTGGAAAGAAATTCTGTGTGCCATTGTCTTAAGAAAAGACCTATTGCAGCTTATATATAACATATATTATCGGCCGATGCTATTCGCACCAGCGGTGCGATTAGCCTCTTGAGCTATTCTCACCAACATTAACCTTTTGAGGCCGGGGCTTTGGTAGCAATAAAAGCTACCAAAGGACGGGAAATCTTGAACCGAATGCTTTCTTCCCTTTAAGAAATCACCTCCTATTTGCAACAAAGATTCTTGTGTGTAGTTTAATGGATTCTCAGAGGGGTGCATCTATCTCGCAAAAGGAAGACCTTTGAAAGTGATAAGTGGTTAAAATCCCAGAGACGTCAAATTTGACATTTCACCTCAATTTTCAGCCTGGAAAATTAGGGAAAAAGACATGCCCACTAAAGTGAACAACCCCGTCTTTTCAAAGAGAGGACTCTATGACCACTATAATGGCCATCCCGTCTTCAAAAGGTTAACCACGCATGTGCGTTGAGTTGTCGAATCCGTCATTTGAACCCAATCGAAAAGAAGGGATTCTACGAACACCATCTACGTACGCGAGTGTTGTAGTGAAATATTTTTTTTTAAAGGCGGGTTACTACCTTGGCGTAGTTTATCATTTTTTAAGCGTTGGCGACTTTCAAAAGCTTAGAAAGGAAAATGGGTTTCTTTTCTTATATACACATTTCCTTTTATTAAAGTATATATAAAAAAGGGTAGGTTTTTATGTTCACAATGTTCACCGTTTTCCTGAACGGTTGGAATAGTTTAAGTGACTGATTTTGGAGGGGGTAATCTTTCTTACATATTTTGTAGGTCTTAGAATACATTTAGCTTCAAAGATGTGTTTTGCACAAGGACTTTTAATTCATTTCTCTTTGAAAATTGTCTGAGAAAAGATAATAAAAATTAGACAGAGGATTTCTGTATAGAAAATTTAGACATGAAATTAGTTAAACGGGATTAAATCAACTATTAAATGAAGAATTAATCATATAATTAACAATTTTGTATGCCTATTTATTTTTTTTACTGAAATACCTGGCATTTTCAGGACAAAAAAATATTTCAAAGAAGTTTGAAATATTAGTACAAACACATTAATAAATTAAATTGAAATAAATAATTAGATGTAATTTAAAAGACAGAAATAATTTAATGTTAAAGATTTAGATTTAAAAATTTGCACACACAAATGATTTATCAGATTTTATACGGTTTTGCTTCATAAATAACTTTGATTTTGAAATATTGCATTTGAACCTATAAACATGTGTGGATACTGAAAAAGTAATGACTATATAAAAATATTATAATGTTCAGTAAGTTTTCTTATTGAATAATAAATTCTGACAGTCCTATGCTATAAGACTTGGGTCTAAAAGTTTGCATAAAAACTCCTCTGTTAAATAAAAGGATTTAAGTAAGCTCTGTGGCCATTTTGTCAATACATTAAAGAATTTTTAACTAATTACACGTCCTCGCTTGCAATTAGAACCATCATTAAATCCATGTTTTATCTAATCCTTTTTTGAACATTATCATGCATGTAGATTGACCTTGTCTTTGTAACTGATAATTATTACTTGCAAATTATTCTTTTGCTGGTGAACTATTAACAACCCTTTCTATTGTTAAGGTTAACAACTTTCGCTCTCGCTACCGCTTGCCTCGGCTAAAGAACAGACGTTCTTTGCCTCGGCGGCCCTGCCGAAAATCGGCGTAACATGCAGGTACCTGGGTTGATTATGCGCATGCGCGAACCTAGGTGGTATGAATATTGGCACCGTCGGTGTGATTATCCACAGCGGATTTCCGGCAGGGCCGCCGGGGCAAAGAACGTCTATTCTTTGCCCGAGACATGCGGTAGGGAGAGCGCATTTATTTCCATAAAAAAAATAAATAGGCATACAAAATTGTTAATTATATGATTAATTCTTCATTTCATAGTTGACTTAATCACTTCTAACTTATTTTATATCTAAATTTTCTATACAGAAATCCTCTGTCTAATTTTTATTATCTTTTCTCAGACAATTTTCACACACACACACACAGATCTTATTTTATTCTCGAGTGTCAAGATGTAGAAACATCGTTTTACTCGACTTCTGATAAAGACCGGGTGGGAGGAGAAAGAGAATGGTGAAAGGAGTGTGAGAGGCGGAAGAAAGAGAGTGAGGTCCGCACTATCGGCGGAGACAATTTTCAAAGAGGAATGAATTAAAGTCCTTGTGCAAAACACGTCTTTTAAACTAAATGTATTCTAAAAATTACCATATTTGAGGGCATATAAGACGCACTTTTTTTTCCTAAATTTGGTCTTAAAAACGTTACTTGCGTCTTATACGTGAAGGACACAGGTTAACTTTCAATACAGAATGCTATTTTTAGCCCGGATAAAGATGTAGACACACATTACTTTTTCTACATCTGCCATAATTATGTTGCGCATGCGTGAAATATCTATCGCCAAAAAGCGCCAAAGCTCGAAGCTGATGTCGAAGTTCGAACAGGTTTGACGGTCATATTACGTCTATGGAGCCTTTCCTTAGCCGACACACGTGTCGGTATCGGTGCTACTCTGTATAAAAGTTTCGGTATCGGTGCTTAAAACTATTTGTTTTAAAAAAAAATACCCTGGAAAATACGACTACAGGAAACAAGAGATTAAGCTATACAATTCAGTATAAACTAGAAGTGTTAAACTACGCTAAAGTGCATGTTTCTGCTTTATTTTGTATTATGTTTGATTGCTTGCTGTTCATTCATATATTTATTATTGAAATTTTCATATCATGTTCAAAATAGCTTGCCGTTTGTTAATTTTATTAATAAAAGTATGTTTGGTAATTGCATTCAATGATTGTTTATTTGGCTTTTACGAAACGTGAGAACTAAAAGAAACGACATTTTAAGCTGTGGTATCGCGCTGTCGCGCGGGTTATTGAAACTTTTTTTTCTGGTGTGTGGCCTTCTAAAAAAGGGTGCGTCTTATATGCCATCAAATACGGTACAAAAAATGTAAGAAAGATTTTCTCCCCCCCCCAAATCAGTCATTTAAACTATTACAACCGTTCAGGAAAACGATTAACATTGTGAACATAAAAACCTGCCCTTTCTTATATATACTTTAATAAAAGGAAACGTGTGTATATAAGAAAAGGAACCCAGTTTCCTTTCTAAGCTTTTGAAAGTCGCCAACGCTTAAAAAATGATAAACTGCGCCAAGGTAGTAACCCGCCTTTGAAAAAAAAAAAAAAAAAGATTCACTACAACACTCACGTACATAGTTCGCGTACGTAGAATCAGTACCTCCTACATACAAAGCCAAGGCTCTAGGGTTGCTTGAACGCTCTGACGTCACGAAAGTCGTCTCTCCACTATCCTCATCCTGATATTTTACATGCTGTTATATATAATTTTATTGTTGTGAAGAAACTAATTTCAGACGAATATGAGCAAAAATTTTTATTTTCGGCTAATCCACGAGATACAGCGTGTAAAATTACTTTAAATTTACTTCATAAAAAAATTTTTTGGAACTGAATGACGGTGCAAATCTTCATAACCCTCAGATTATTTTGAAAAATATCATACAATCATCAACAAATATTTCCTCGCAGAAATTGAGCTGGGTACAGGTACCGACAGACGCATGGCCAGAATCTCTGTAGTGATCCCCATAGGTGACTGATTGTTGTTGTACTTAACTGCTAAGCTCTAAGTGCAATATAGAATTCCAAGAGAAATACCTCGCAGCGATGTCCGAAGCTTGTCCACTCCCTTCCCGTGCCACTAGCCTCTCGAGAGACCCACAGAAATGCCCATTGCAAGGTATCAAAATTACTAGTGCCCGCCCTGTAAATATCTTAAAAAAAGTGGATGCCTTACCTTTTTGGCAACCACATGCTTAACGTACATTTACGCGGCCATTATAAAATACAATAGTTGCTATATACCACTATATACCAGAAGAAAAAATAATTCTATGAACGGATTATTTCATACAATCAGTGTGAAAAATAATGCTTTGGGAAGCCCAGATGTATGCTGCTGATCACAGTGCAACAAGAATTTTATCAATGTTTTGCAAGTGGCTCGTTATCTGCATTATTACAGGTACAGAACCTTTGGAATGGAATAAGATTGTGGGATAAATTCGCAGGAACTTTTAAATCTATTTTCAACGATACAGATAAAAAAAGTTAGTTCCTGTTTGGATCCCTATGAAAAATGTTATTATCATTTTCAGGTAGATTATAAATTAAAATGCTTCTATTTTCTTTCATATTGTAAAATTTTTAGACATTTCTCTGTCCCGTAAGGCCCTTCCTGTCCTT